GGTGTTGGGAGACCTACCTTCCAGGTGTGTCCAGGTGAGTGGACCAATTGCAGACACTCATGGAAAAGTACGGCCAAGAGTGAAGTCTGCTGCCACCCCTGAGGCCCCTGGGCCAAATGCATGGAAGGATCCAAAAGTTTGCTGATGCCATTGAAACGTGGCACAGAAATCAACGGGCCGTAACAGATATTAATTTTAAAACATCCGTTGGGAGTTTTCCTCTCACGTTGTGCCTGTTAGTGGCCTGACACGACAGTTCCAAAAAGTGCTAAAGGGGCACATTTGTGTGGCTGGCCACGGTCTGCGCTTAGAAAGGCCCCCGTTGTTCTTAAACTCCGTTTCCAAAGCCAGCACTGGAAGCCTCGCATAATGGTTGGAGACAAGATTTAGCGCCTACCATCCCTCCTCAATTTTTCAGCCCTCAAAACGTGATTAACATGCTTGCTTGCTCTGCCACTTTGCAAAAGGGTTTTTCTTTCTTCTTCCACCCCTTCAGCTAGCAACTCCGCAGATAAATGTTCTCCATTCTTATGGGTCTCCCTGTCCTTTTGTGGCCCCCTCAGATTAAATCTTCCCTTAAAACGGACAGCTGGCCTCCAACACCTCAGGATGAAAATGCAGGATGCTGCAGCCCCCCCAAAAAGCTTCATTGGGGGAGAAAAACAAGAACAACCTTTGGATCCTTCAACAAAGGGCACAAAGACCAAACTTTTGCTTGGCAAGCTAATTAAAACGGAAGCCACCACCGTCCAGAGCCAACATTTAGGGCCAAACCAGGAAAAGGGGGCCAGGAGAGAGAAAGAGCCAGGGGGCTCAACTCCATTCAAAGCCCAGCTTCCAACTGGGATTATGCTCAGTGCACATTAATTGTCATTCCAGCTACAACCGTCCTAGTTTCAGTGTGAAGTTTACTCTCCACTGCACAACGACTGAAAATCAGCATTGGTTGCAGGGCCCAGATAGCCTACAGTCTTGTTGTTTTTCCCCCCAGCAAGTGAAAAAGAACTTTTAAGAAGCATAAAAGCCCTCCAAAACTTGGCCTGGTTTTCTTTTTTCCAGCTTTCCATCATTCCCATTCATTCCAAAAACATGTAATCTCATTGTGGCTTGAGTACATAACGCTGCTTTTATGCTTGCCTAGGCACAAGAAATAATGAACCCAAAACCAACAGCAGAACATAATAAAAATGAGATGGGAGCAAAGGGAAAACAGCGGGAAGATTTAAAATATGAACAGGTTCCTTATGCCAAGGACTAAGAGGTTTTCTCTGAACACAGCATAACTTCTTTATGATAATAAGCCCTTTGGTTCCCATGCAAATCTCCTTCTGAAGAAGGCGAACATCAGTTCATAAGAAAGAACATCAGCGCACCGATAAGCTGGTTGGCGTTGAGACCTTGAGTGAAATCTCTGGAGAATTGCACCCATTCACCCTACAGATGCTGAAAAGCTTACGAGGGGCCCGTAAATCTTGACTATCAAAGTGTTCCCCTTTTATACCTTTCTAGAATCTGTTGTCCAGGTGGGAGGACAATCTCAATAGCGCAGAAATTACACTTCCAATTCAGAAGACCACAATGAACCCGAAGCCCTGAGGCCTTCAAGGGTGATTTTATTCCAAAAGGCAATTGGATTTTCTTGGGGTTTTTTCCTTTGAAAATGTTTCACTCCCAAGAAAGTCCAGTTGTCTTTTGGAGAAAAAAAAGCACCTTTGGGACAACCATGACCTGAATGATTGAGAATCTCCATAGACGTAAAGAAATGTATATGTATTTATTTATTTATCAAATTTATATATTTGTTTGCCTCAAGAGAAATGTCTCAAAAGTCCAAGAGAATAAGACTGTCTGGAGAATCCGGTTTGTTCAGGAGTGAGCAGCCCTCCTAATGACCACATCTTGACCCAGGAAGGGGATGTTGGGAACTGACTTCGGGTGTCTTCCTTCTTTCTTCAGAAGTGGACAACTTGACCAAAAAAAGAGGTGTTTTGGGAACAGACCAACGTTGGATCTGTAGCACCTTTTACCATTCTGAATCTCAACTCCACGGACCTCTGCTTCCATTCCTTAGTGCAGGGTCAGCATCCCACGTGCAGCTTTAGAGCTGAGTCCTTTCTATTCATTATTCTGGACTCTAGAATTACC